CGGCCTCTCTCGAGGCCAATAGAATACGGCACTTAGATGCCGCGCTTGGACGACCCGCTGACGGGCACCGAGCACGAATTGGAGCGCCTCAGAGCCGTTGAAATGCTGGATGGTGGTTTGTTTACTTTTCGGGATGGGAAGATGAGGGGAGGGGACACCTGGAGGTAATCTCTGAGACCCACCAGAACCTGTATCGATAACGTAGGATGGACCCACTAGCCCAGCACGTCCTGTGCCCCAAAGGGACCTGAGCGGCCTCACGGCCGCTGGACGAAAAATACACACACACACACACACACATATCGTTACGTCCGAATGCTCGTGCTCATGCATATAGCTAGCTCGCCAATCTATCATATTCCGCACATCTCTCAAGCTACATATTGGAGACATTCCCTTCTACCTTCCGTCACAAAGTCGTACTTATTAATATGCTTAGCTTTTTAACCTCCGTGATCCGTAAATTATTTTGGGAGGGCTTGATGCGAAAATCCGATAAGTATTAGCCCCGTCCCACAGGCAATCGCGATGGTAGACCCAGATACCGCAGATAGGTAGGGCCGGTATTCTTTGGGCAACCAGAACAGGTTCTTTCCAACCCATGTGATCCAGGCCCCGTCTTCGCTGATGCCGAATAGGGGGTAAACAGCAGCCGTTGCATTGGCGGCGGGGTCAGTGGGGGGATGTTCAGATGTCTCTACGTGTGTTGTACCACGATCGGTCAGCAAAAGTAAGTTGCCGTAGCCAAAAGACAGGCGAAACGAAGCGAACCCAACATTGAGTGTCTGCACGCAGTCGCCGGTGGCCACATGCCAGAGCCGGATCGTCTCGTCGATGGAGGCCGACGCCACGAACGTCGAATAGGCCGAGAAGGCTACCGAGGTGACCGAATAGCCGTGGCCCTCGAGCGTCTGCACGCAGTCGCCCGTGGCCACGCGCCAGAGCCGGATCGTCTTGTCGACGGAGCCCGACGCCACGAGCGTCGAGTCGGCCGAGAAGGCCACCGAGGTGACCCAGTCGTCATGGCCCTCGAGCGTCTGCACGCAGTCGCCCGTGGCCACGCGCCAGAGCCGGATCGTGTCGTCGATGGAGCCCGACGCCATGAGGGTCGAATCGGCCGAGAAGGCTACCGAGGTGACCCATTCGTCATGGCCCTCGAGCGTCTGCACGCAGTCGCCCGTGGCCACACGCCAGAGCCGGATCGTCTTGTCGATGGAGCCCGACGCCACGAGCGTCGAATCGGCCGAGAAGGCTACCGAGGTGACCGAGTCGTCATGGCCCTCGAGCGTCCGCACGCAGTCGCCCGTGGCCACACGCCAGAGCCGGATCGTCCTGTCGTCGGATCCCGACGCCACGAGCGTCGAATCGGCCGAGAAGGCTACCGACGTGACCGGCCTGTCATGGTCCTCGAACGTCTGCATGCAGTGCCCCCAATTGTCATTTACCTTCGGCTGTAGAGCTATCCATCGCGGGATCTGGCTTCTGAATGTAGCGCGAATTTTGCTGTTCTCTGGCGAAAAGATGAGGAGAGAAGAATATATCTGGAGTGGCGTATTGTCGATAGTGTAAGCGTTGGCGAGAATGAAACGCATGGCGTCATCGAGAAACTCGGGCAGTTGTTTATCACTTCGACACTAGTCGGAGTCAGTAGACTGCATCCCCGGGATGCCCTATGGTGATTCTCGGACCTTATATAGCGACTGCAACGCCTCGATAAGATGCACACTTTCCCTAGCTCTCCCTAGAAGGCTCAATGACTCTAGCCAATGAAGGAAGTGACACTGTAGAAAGCTGTACACTCGCCCACAGTCACCGTCACAAACACCCGCGAATTGAAGGTGATAGACCCAGTGCAGGCAGGCATACTGTACCGCAGATGGAAGACAGGCATCCACTTTGCGTGAGTCGATATCCGATCGGGCCGTGCCAGGGGCTTTAATATCGCAGATATCCTCTTCGAGGCAATTCTCCATCACACGCAGACAATGCACTGCCACGGCCCGATGGGTTTGTTTCTCGTCTATCCAGAATGGATTTACTTCCCGTTGCTTCGGGTCCAGCAAGTAGTCGCGGAAAGACAGATGTAGCAGCCTCACGGGTGCTTCTTCGGATGGTGGCACGCTGAGGACAGAGTGCAGCATTTCCAACCTGCCCTCAATATCGTCTCTGGGTATGTCAAGAATATGCGCCAATGCAGGTATTGGCAACGGACTGGCCAGGATAACGATAGAGCCGACGATGTTTCCAAATTCTTGAACTACCTCCTCTCGTTGGTCGGCAGATAACCCGGTAACCTGGTTCTCCAACACGGGCATGTACGTTTTCGCCAGCTGTGACAATCCGCCCCAAGCACGAGATTGAAGGACCTTCTTCAGTTGTTTATCGGGTGTTCCGATCCTTCGATCAGCAATGAAGAGACATACGGTGGCGGCGAAAATAAAGAGAGGGACTGCCATCTTCACTAGGGTCTCAACATTGGAAGGGCCTGGCCAGCCTTCGGCAAGCTGTCTGTCTTCCTGCAAGAAAGCATTATATTTGTCTCGGATGCTCGCCAGCTCATGCTTCAGAAAGGCGCGTATATCGCGCTCGACAACGGGCTCCGGTATCTCGTGGAGCACCAAGCCTTGGTACTTGCCGTCGATGGTTTTAAACCCGAGCCGAATTGGCAGGTCCGGTCGGCTGGTCAAGAATACTTTGAGCTGCACAGACTGCAGCGTCCTGGCGCGAGAGAAGAGACAAATCATTAGCCTTATATCATCCTCTCGATCGCACTCATCCAGTGCATCGACAATTATGACAAGTGGCTCCGGTCTCTGTAATTCCGGCGAAATCATTGACAGTGGCCCAAGAAATAGCTTGTCAAACTGCTCCCGCATTGCCTTTCTCAAGATCGTGGGGTCGCTAGTGATTGCATTCTTGATGTGGCGAGCGGTTGCGGGTTGCCTTCTCGCCAGATCGGCCACAATTGTCGAGATGAACTTGGACATGCTCCCTCGATCAGCCTCTCCTCTCTTGAAGAAGAAGCTGGCGCCTAGGTGATTCTGGGAGGCAAATAAATGGGCGAGAGTACGGGACACCGTGGACTTGCCTGTCCCTGCCATGCCGTTAAGCCAGAAGATCGCTTCGGAGCCGCGATTATTAGCCCATGTTGATATGTCTTCCAGAAGCTCCACTCGGGTATTTTGCAGACATCTCGGGCTGTGCTCTTCAGCACGAGAGTCGAACGAGGCTCCAGCGGCGATTTCGCGCTCGAGCCGAGCATCTAGAAGAACGGCACTACCACAGGCATATTAGCTCATATCGCCGTGTGGCCCAACTGGGCAACCGTAGACTCACTGTACGTCTTGTACTTTGTTGTTCACTTCGGTTGTGGTGGATTGGATGTTCGTTACGACTTCGCCAACGTGCGATACGGAAACGAGAACTGATGTGCTATTAGAAGACTCCTATGCACCGATGTGGAAGCTCGAGGATGGCTGACCACTTGAAAAAAGCTTACTGATCCTCTCCTCCGTTTCCACCTTGTTTGGAGGAATTTGACACAAAAGATCTTTCGTGTATGCGGCTGCCGCCATTGCTGCATATCCTTGCCAGTCCTTGTTTTTGTGACTGTCCGAGTAGTCGCATATACCTCGAACTACTAGGCAAGGAAAGTGGTTCACTAATCCCGCGCCCTCCATTTCAAAACACAGAACATCTCTTGTTGCCGCAAGTTTATCCCGAACCAGCGCGTCCTTCATCAATGTGTTCGCTGATGCAATCCGGCCGTAGTGAACAGCAGGATTGTCTTCATCTTCGGTGCGTTCCGGTCGCCGTATCGTGCTCGATGGGTCGTCACCACATGCTACCGCGCAGGCGGATTCAGTGTCTGGAGGGTGTGTAACTCCGCTCTTATATAGCGAGTCAGTACCCGGGTCCGGCCGCTTGTATTTCTTCCGCAGTCTCGGTTTCTTTTCGAGAATGTCATCGATAACTTCGCCTAGCCGATGTCCTTCGGCCTCATATTGAGCTTTCAGGCCACTGACAGCCGTTCGAAGCACAGTCGGTGGCTGATTTAAGAGCGCTGTCTCTTGGAAATCTTGTCCTTGTATCGCCTTGCCGAAATCGTACTGGAACAGAGCACCTCGTCCATCGCGAGGAGCGCTGACAACAATGTCGCCCAAACGGATATCATGCTTTCGACTTGGCGCGCCGCCCCCGATCCCGACCATCAGGCCGATTCTGACGTTGGGAAAGCTGTGCAACATGTCCTTCGCGACGCCTGCAGCAGAGGATATGCCGTACTCTCCGTCTGGCAAGACCGCGATGACGACATTGTGCTTCCCGATTTTACCTAGAGTGTAGTGATTGTTGTCGTGGGTAGAGACGTACTCGGGGCCATCGTGCCTTTCGTCGAGAAACGCTTGTGCGGCGACGTACTCTGTGGTTATGGCACAGATCCAGCCGACGGTGTAGTTCTCGGGATTAGACATGGTCGCTGAAGTCTGCGATACGGCCGAGACCTGGAGCTCTAAGGAGGAACGGCCTCATGCTGTCAGGGCAGTGCGTTCGATTAGGTTGATGGGGGTGATGATATAGGAGGGTCGATGTGGGTTGGTGAGGGGTCGGTGAGGCTGCTGCAGGTCTTCAACCGGGTTGCCGCAGAGCCGCTGGCGTCGAGACGGCTGCTAATGGAAGGCAGGGTACGCTCAGCTGATACTGCAGGCGCCGCGCAGAGCACCAGCAACCCGTAGCGGCCGAGGGCTGGAGGGTTCGGGTCGGATGCCACGGTGTGTCGACACGCCATTCAGCGCTCGGTCGCGAGCAAGGTTTTGGATTGTTGAACTCTTCGTTTCGCCGAATGGAAGTCGACAGCGTCGCAATGAGAGTGACAAAGAGGACTGGGGTTTCCCTCGCAGCTGTACAAGAAGGTGGACTCCATTGTAGACAGAAGGTGTTGCCGTCAGGAGAGGCTGCCCCGCGACGCACACCAAGGACCGGATTGACGAAATTCATAACCGCACTGTCATCCAGCCACAGAAAACCAGCCACACATAAGCAAAAGTTGCCAAAGTTGACCGCTGTGACGGTCCAACCGTGTGGCTCGGTACAGTGGAATTATCAATTTCAGGACCACCCTTCACAGCTAGGCAACAGCGGCAGGATGAGTCGTCGACATCCTCGACGATCCCTTGTTCGACGTTTCTTCGACGGCTTGACGCCTTCCAATTCGTTCAAGCAGAGTCGCTCGCTGCAGCCATGGCTCCGAGGCTGTCTCGGGCTCAGCATGAAATGCCGCAAACCGGGGGGATAGAAAGGGTCACACGATTGCGCAGCCGACACCGTCGTTCGTCATCTGTTGGCGAACGACAGTGTCCAGCCGAGGACGACGGCAGCCTCACAGCGGACGGTATGATTGGGTGCGTTGTGAACAGCTGCAGGCCTGGGACGCTGCGTGACGGCTCAACGGCGCCAGTTAAAGCGCGCTGATTGGGTGACTGAGTCGGAGGCAGCCAGGGGGGCGGGGGCCCCTGCCTCATGCACCGACCGTTTCTACCTGGTGCCATACCCCATGCCTTGCCCCTTGCCCTGCCCTGCTGTGCCGCCGTGGAGCAAGTGGGAACTCCTGCTGGAACTGCGACCCTGCCTAACAGAACCGTAACCTCCAGTAGTATTTACTATCGATATACGGCGTCATTAAGGGCACGACGTGTTATCCACAACTTGACAGGGGCTAGAGCATATTTGCTGATGTCGCCGTAAGGGTGCTTGCAATGGCACATCATCCAATGTTTGGAAAGTCGGCTCGCTCGCGGGCTTCCCTCTTCCATCAAGAAAGACATGCATGCAGTGAATGAGAACTCATGTGATGCAGAGTCCGACAGTCAATTCTCTGATGCTTCCAGTACCCAGCAGCTCCCTCGCAATGCACAGCCCCGGCCGCGAAGCCAACTCCGGCCCCAGCGGCCAGCCTTGCCCTTCGTCGCATATGCCGACTTGGCCACAAGCCAGTCGTACGATTGCACCCCGCCTGTCTGCATCAGCTATGTCATGGAATGGAAGGTGGCCTTCAATAACAGGAAGGTTCGCGTGCATACCGAAGAGAACCTCGTGGTGGCGCCGGGCGAGTTCTGGAAGGAGAACTGTCCGCAAAGACCCACGAGATCGCGAAACGACGACCAAGCCCAGTAGACCTGATTCAACAACAATCGTCGTGTCCGTGAACGAGCGATCCGAGTCAGACATAACGAAGAGTTTCCAGAGCTTGACATCGATCCGTCCGCTGTGGAACGACAGCTACAAGCGTGGAGCCACCTTCTTCGCATCGGGAAGAAGCTGAAGGTTGACGCCTCGTTCAAGTTCGTGGGTAGCGGCAAGACGGCCCGTACCGCAGGACGTGGCGCCACTGCCGCGCAGCTTGCGGAGGCTGACGTTAGGCTCG